GTAATCAGGGGGCTTGCACGCCCCCAAAATATATATAAGCCTTGGTTAGAAATAAATCGCTCTCTCTCTCTCTTCTCTCCTCCAACCGAGGTTGTGCAAGGACCTGGCTGGTAAGATCATGGCCATCCAGGAAGTGAGCATGCTACCATGAAATGTGTCTGACGCCTTTATTTTACTTTCTCTTCTATCTCTCTTATTCTCTATGACTTTACTATAACCTTTCTATATTTTAACCATACAATTGCACTTACTGACCCCGTGATAGTGCGAGGGGCTGGTTCCCCAACACTAGTGAAGAGTTGTATGTACCATGGATTGACAGAACTAACAGACTGGTCTTGGAGGAAGTACAGCCAGAATGCTCCTTGGGGTGGTGAGCCTTCATCTTGCCTACTTTGGACATTGTATCAGGAGGGACCTGTCCATGGAGAGGGCATCACGCTTGGTAAAGCAGACGGTTAGTGAAAAGGAAAACTCTCAACAAGATGGACTGACACAGCGATCCCAACAGTGGAAAACAATTGGCATCGCAGTTTTGAGTACAGGGTAGGACCAAGCAGTGTTCCACAGGCTCGCCGTTGAGTCAGAACCAACTTGACCTCACCCAACAATAAGTTGGGCAGCATTTACGGATTTACACCATCTATTAAAAGTCTAGACCAGCGGTTCTCAACCTGTGGGTCAAGACCCCTTTATTAGAGTCGAACAACCCTTTCACAGGGGTTGCCCGATTCATAACAGTAGCAAATTATAGTTATGAAGTACCAATGAAAATAATTTTATGGTTGGGGGATCACTACAACATGAACTGTATGAAAGGGTCACGGCATTAGCAAGGTTGAGGACCACTTGTCTAGAGGCTCTGGTGGCATAGTGGGCTACACACTGAGCTCCCAACCACGGGTCAATGGCTCAACCCACCAGCCACTCTGCAGGAGAAAGACGATGCTGTCTAGTCCCATAAAGATTTACAATTTCAGAAACCCAAAGGGACAGTTCTACTCTGTCCTATAAAGTTACTCTACATCAGAGTCAATTAAATGACAGTGAGTTTGGCTTTGGTTTATTAAGGGTTTGCTATTCAAGTTAATACTTTTGCATTAACTTTGCATTAAGACTATGGAAAGCATTTTTTACTACAGAAAACACTGTTTTCTGTATCTTAAGCTATTTCTATACCTTAAGCAAACAGATGTGGGTGCTGTCAACCATAAATTAAGACTTCTTTTATTAAAACAAACATCTACTTTAGATACACTATTAGCAATCTAATCGCCATATGTAGTTAAAGTAATAAGAGCAATTTTCTTTGATTTTCAGAAACTCTGATTTTTCCAATTAATCTTAATTTATCAAACTTTCACAGTTGGATGGATTAGACAATAATCAACTGCAAATCAAAAGCCCATTTGTCAAACAGTTTAATTACTACAGTGAAATCAACTTAGAATATTATCAATTTTCATGAAGTCAGAACGCTGCTGCTTCCCATTTCCACCTCGCAAATAGGCATCAGCGATCCAGTGCTGTGCTTATCGAGGAGCCGAAGGACCGGAGGCCGAGTTCTGCTCACAAGGACTTGCTATCTTCTTTGTACACTTGTAGCAGTTTACAGAATCATAGGATTAAAAGTCAACAATAATGACACAAATAAATATTAAAGGTCATCAAAGAGATAAAAATGGGTGGTAATCACAAGAAAGGCTCTAAAGTAGATAAAAACTTGAGGTGAACCCCAAGGCATACAAGTAAAATAGCATAAACGACTTGGACAGAGGAAGAGATGGAGAATGGGAGTTCCCATGCCCAGGGGAGGGAGTGCAGTGTGGAGTGGAGGCAGGGACAAGGATAACCGAAATGAAGAGAGGAAAAATGAGCAGGCCATATTGAAAAAAGAGCTGTGTCTCAGGTAGCTTCGCCAGAGGCTGGTGTGAGCAGGGAAACAGAGATTGATATCATTAGGCCTCACTGAGGATTACAGACTTAATTGAAAAACCAGGAGTCACTGATACTTTCTCAGATGGGAAGTCTGAGGAGATGAATTGGAGATAAGATACTGAACTAGAGAACTCTCTATAGACTCCAGACTAGTGTTCTGCTCGGTGTCAGAGAAAAACAGAAGCAAAACAAAACCAACACACTTAGGGGAGAAAAAATCCTTATAAAAAGTACACAGTAAAAGAAACCTAAAAGCATAAAAAGAATATTTGCAATACTTATGAAATGGCAGCTAATGGGCAAATCTGTTGCCTATCTATCTGCCTACACTGGAATCAGGAAGATTCCTCTTTGATAATGAGCATAAATACACAATTTCTCTTGGAGAAGGGGAAAAGCTACATAAATGAAATAAAAAGTAAATATATCATGGATACTGCAGGTTCATTCATTTCTGCTCCCTAAACAGTTCAGCCACAAGCAATTTCCAGCTGGTTCAGCATGTGGAATCCATAGCCTGGCCATACCCCACATCCAGTGGGGGGGTTCTGTGCAGGCAGCTGGGCGCCAGTTCCACCAAAGAAGCCATTTTTTCGCACTAGGCTCTGGGTTCCCCCTTAAGATCTCACTATTTTTTCTATTGAAAAGCTCTAGCACATTCAATGCTGTTAAGTGCCATCTAGTTGGTTCCAATTTAAAGAGAACCTATGTAGGGCAGAACAAGACACTGCCTGGTCCCACGCCATCCTGCAATCCTTGTTGTTTGAACCCACTGGTGCTCATTCCCTAACATCTCCTAAAAATGTTCAAAAAGAGCTATAATCAGATCTTTATAAAAGTACACGTGCTACCACTACAGGTATCAAAATTGCCCTACTATTATTAGAGTGTATCTCGGAGGTGTTATGTCAATGGAGGTCACGCTCTTGAAGCTTTAGTATATGCCTTTTCTGTTTTTCAGTAGATGAAACCCAGGACTGATGAACCTAAAGGGACAGCAAGTAGAATAAGGGTTCCAGGGGGAGTGGGGCCGAGGGAGTGAGGGTGGTGGTAAAAGGGAGACAAAAAGGAGTGTTTGGAAACTGATCGTGCTAGCAATTGTACATTCTAAATGATGTGATTGAAATATGGAATGATATGATGTATGTATTAAATCCCAACTTTAAAAAAAAATTTTTTTTCTACTCTGTGCTAGCTCTCTTCTAATTTCATACTTGGCTGATTTTTTTTCTTTAGGCATCTTAAATACTTCCAAGAATTAACAGGGATATAAATAAATACTGCACATAAATACACAGAGTGTTATTTCCTCCTAGGAAATTAAAATTTTGTTTAAAAATCACTAATAGAGAAGACTGTAACATAATATTATCTTTTCTCAGCAATGTGCATCATAATATGCTAACTAGGCAGAATTTAAGGAAGACATTTGCTTCTATTTAAAATTAATTAGTTTTTGTTCTAAGCATCCAGTATTATGAGTAAACCATAAACCCTTTGAATATATCCAAATTAAAATACTAAAACAAGATTTTTAAATAATTGTTAACTATACTTGCAAATTGCACAAGAATTTCCTCAAATTGATACACCATAAATTAGATATATCAAAGTCTTTAAACGTTAAAAACAACAACAACAACCTTTAAATCCTTCAAATTAGCAAAAGGGTCTTCTAGTGAACAAATGATAAACAGCCACCCTGGTCCATTCATTAATATAGTCAGTATTGAAATACTTTAAAGATTATATCCAAATCCAGTTTCATTGAATTTATGTTTTTTTGTAGGTTTGAAATATATAAATTGAGATAGAATATGTGTGAATTGTTGAATGTGAAAGTGATGATCTACTCTGTATACCTTCATCTAATTCATAATAAAAATTTTAAAAGGAAAAAAAGTCTAAAAAGCAGAGGGGCCACAGGGAAGGGATGAGTCAACCAGGGTGTAGTAAAGCATTGATAAAACACACATTATTCCTCTGGTTCCTTGAGGATTCCTCTCCCCCGCTATCATGACTCCTGCTTCTCAATTCAGACTACACCGGAGTATGTACACAGGTATAGACAAGAGATGGGAGCTCATGTCACATGGAATCCAGAAACAGGAGTGGGAATACCGATACCAGAGGGTAGGGGGAAGGGGGGGAAAAGGATGGGGGAAAGGGGGAACCAATTGCAATGATAGACACTAGCCATACACCCTCCTCCAGGGCGAAGACCAATGAAAACATGGGAGAAGGGAGACAGCGGTTGGTGTGAGATATGAAAATAATAATTTATAATCTATCAAGGGGCCATGAGGGTGGGGTAGAGAAAAAAAGAGGAGCTGATACCTAGGACTCAATAGAAAGTTAGTCTAGAAAAGAATGATGGCAACATATGCACAAACATGCCTGATGCAATCGATGTATGGACTGTAATAATAGTTAAGAGCCCCCCAAAAATGATCTTTTAATAAAAGGAAAAATCCTAAAAAGGTCTTTAAATAATTTCTTTTACTTGTGGTAGTTACATAATTTTGTGTCAACATGTAGATAGGGAAGTGAAGGGATGGAGTCTAGTCTGTCAATCAAGTCACAGCCAGATGGCGCCTCCTTGTGGGCGTGACCTTCTCATGAGGTGGGTCCTGGGAACCTCCCCCTCTCTCTCTGTTTCACCTTCCTGCTGGCAAGCCACTCGGAGACCTGCCAGAGACCCACCAGAGCTGTATGACGCCGCCACTGCCACCACTGGATCCATAAGACTTTTCACCCACCGGCCATTGATCTTCCTGCATTTTGCATCATTGCTTGTGGCTGTGAGTCTGAAGAGGGATTTATGAACTAGTATTGGACTTAGGGACTTGAACTGGACTGGGCTGGGGTGTCGTGTTGATGCATAATCATTCCTTGATATAAAGCTCTTTCTTCCACATATATGAGTGTCACTGGATTGTTTCTCTAGTCAACTCGGCCTAACGCACTTGTGAATCTAAGCTCACCACCCTTAGCTAGCAGTATGGAAAAAGAATGATGAAAGGCAGACTTACTAAAATGAAATAAGCACATAAGGTACTAGCCTGTCATACGCAGCAATCATAAAGTTGAGGAGGAGGCTGATGGATTGTTCCACACTAATCTGGTGTGTAGAAGGGAGGCGTTTGTTCAGCTGGTAGTAGATGGATGAGATGATAGTTTCAAGGCGGGACACACTGATCTCGGTGTTATGGTCCAGTGTATTAAGGCCATTATCTCGGAAAGCTTCAATCATGTTCCAGATATCAACAAGATGAACTAAAAACATAAGGAAAACAAACTGTCAACAATTTTAAAATACAGAAACTTCCTTCACAATTAAGACTTACCTTTTTCAATTACATAATTTTTTATAAATAATACGAGCACACATATAGCATGATGAAATTAAGCACAGCAATTCTGGAGTAGTGCGTTCATGAATATACCACACGTCTTTTAACACTTCACTCACTCGTCCTGCCACAATACGGGAAAGTCATATTGTCCTGTTCATTTTAATCTTCTTTTTACATGTATAAAAAGAGCTCGGAATGTTACTTTTGATCATAATTGTACAATAAAAGTATAAGAAGTCATGGTCCTGGCCTTCCAGCAAGATGGTGGCCTTGAAAGGCACACTACACAAACACTCTACAGCAAAGACGTGAGAACACAGATATGGAGGGGAGACTTGAGGCCTCAAAATCTCTGAAGAAGAAAAAAACTATGTGAGCAACAGAGAAAACACACACACACACACACACACACACAGAGTAAGCAGACCAGCAAATTCTCCACTGGTTGGCCATGAACCCAACAGCTCCACCCACACCACAGGACAGTCTCTGGTCCCCAGAAAGGAGAAAGGTGGGACCACCCTCCATTCCCCAGACTCCAGATGAGTGGAGACACATCAAAGGCACTACCTGGTGCCCTCAGCAGTCAATTGTGCTCCTGCTCCTTTGAGCTGCAAATTCAACTGGATAGAGGGGTAACCAAGAAGTTCGGCTGTACCTCCTGGAAAACTGTTGTAGCGGGTAGGGAGAAGTGAAAAACCCTTAGCTCCCACAGACCCCTACTACACACAGAGATCACCAGCCTGTACACTTATGCTCTCAGCAGTGGTGACAGTGGCTGCAATCCCCCAATAGGCATCGATGGGGATGGTAGAGTGCTGGTGCCAGCCTGGGGCTAGTTTTAAACCAGTAAAGCAGTGGAATTGGGGTTAAGACCCACACATTCATGTGTTCAGTGGCAGGAGCAGCTGCTGAAAACCCCCACTTGGCTCAGGAGGAGCTAGAAGTGCCTAGTGCTCTGGGGCTGATGGAGCCAGCTCAGGAGTTTTAAAGAAAGACGAAGAAGACTGGGAGAGCAGACTTAGAAGGGGCAGAGCCCACACATTCTCAAATCCCCATAATCTGCAGTGGTGGGCCAGTACCCTGGGGCTGCTGTTTTTAAACTGGCACAGCAGTGCTAGAGGGAGCAGGGCCCCCAGATTCTGGGGCTTTGGGGTGGCAGTTATGGCAAAGCCCACTCTGCACCAACAGAGCATGTCAGTTCCCTGAGGCAACCAGTACCGGCTTGGGCTGGGATATTTTCTTCCTCTTTACCTTTTGTTTTGTTTGGTTGGTTTGGTAAGAGAGGTGCAAGTATCCCTAACCCCTGATTACACCCTGGTGTCCACAAAAGTTGCCACCACCCACTCATCACACACCAGTGTCTGCCCTCCTATGGGGTGCACCTGAGTGGGACCTTCACACACGTAACTGATGAGGGAACAGCTGCTGGATCCAGCCAGGGGCTGTTTGGTTTTTGTGGGGTATGCTGTTGTTGCTGTTTTGGTGGGGTTATTTTTTGCTTTTTGTGTTTTGTTTTTATTTGTGGGCTTGTTTCTTGGTTAGTTTGCTTGATTTTTGCTACTGTATATTTGTATGTTTGTTTGTTTACTCTTTCCTTTTTTATTCCACCTGATCCAGTCACCTGACACCTCCATCAACTATACCTGATAGGAAAAGACAACCACCCACTCCAGTACCACCTGATCAACAAGTAAATACAGACACGCACACACACACACAACTACAGCGTCTTGGAGACAACAAAAAATAATAGTTCATACAAAGAGATGAGAGAATGGATCAAACCAGTGAGCAATATAACGACCCAAAATACCTCCTTGAGAAAGATAACACATTAGAACTATTGGGAAAGGAATTGAGAAGAATGATTCTTAGGTACTTGCAACAAATGAGGAAAACACACGACAGTTATTTGGAGACAGAAAAAAACAAGATTAAAATACAGGAAAACACTATGAGCAATTTGACAAAATAAATGAAAAATTATGAATTTATGCAAAAAAATATCAAGTAGAAATCCAGAAGATTAATTCTAAGACATTAGAAATCAATAATATATTGAATGAGCAAAGCAGTTGAATTAAAACAATGAAGGGCCAAATTAGTAAGCCTGAAAATCAATCAATACAAAACTACAAGAACAATCTAGAAAATGAACAAAACAAAATCCAAAGAAAGTCTAGAATTATGGAGGATGCTATGAAGAGATATAACAAATACATGACCGGTGTTCCAGAAAGAACAAATGGGGGAAGAAAAAAAGCATAGAGAAAATAGTTCAAGAATACACTTTCAAAATGCTCAAATAACCACAAACAGAATAGATTCCAAAAGAAAATCGCCACAACAGCATAACCAAGCTTTCTAAAAGCAAAAGACCAGGAAAGAACCCTGGGCGCAGCTCAGGAAAAACGAAAAGCTACCTACGAAGGAAAACCAGTCAGACTACATCTTGATTTTTCAGAAGAATCCACACAAACAGGGCAATGGACGACATACATAAAACTCTGAAAGGAAAAAAAATTGCCAACCAAGAATCTTACATCCAAAAAAGAATCCCTCATATTGTCCCTCCTATGTACGCCATACCAAGCCCACTGCCACCTGAGACTGTAATGCCGATGGTTTGGAACTGCCAACCATGCAGATCACAGTCCATCGTACAGCCACGACACCATCAAGGCTCGGGATACAAACACAAGGGAGAGATTAGGGCATTTCCAGACAAGGAGAAATTAGAGGGATTTGTAAAAACACGACCAATCTTGCAAAAATTACTAAGAGGTGTTCTTTGGGCAGATAACAACAACAGCTGGCATTTACTTGGGATCAACCTACAAGACACCACCACCCCAAAACCCATCCAACTACTGTAGTCTTCAAAGTAAACACATAAGACTAAACATAGGGCACCAGCAATATCAATCTGCAAAGAAGACAATTAATGAGTAAATGAATCATGCAGATACAAAACATACAAATGGAGAGAAAGCCTATGTGATTTTAAGAAAGAACAGATGTTTTATACTTGGGGAGAAATTAATGAACAAACATAAGCAAAATCAAGTTGGCACAGAAGTTACGAGGAAGAAAGAAATTAAAACAGCATAACACGACACACACATAGCACACAGCAAAATAAGATTAATAAATCCATACCTACCGATATTGACACTGGATGTAAATGGGTTAAATACACACACCAAGAGATAGAAAGTACCCCATCAATCTGTTGCTTGCAAAAACACATCTTAGACAAAAAGATAAAAATGGACTAAAAATCAAAGGATGGAAAAAACAAATCAAGTTAATGGCAATTTTTTTAAAAGCAGGAATTGAAATATTAATTCCTAATAAAATGGACTCCCTGGAAAAATCCACCATCAGAGAACAAGAGAGGCATTGCACATTGATAGAGCAACTGTACAAAAAAATTAATCAAAAGCATCCAAATTGGCAAAAAAGAAGCAAAACTATTCACATATGGTGTTATTCTACATGTACAAAACCCAAAGGCTCAACAAGAAAAATGTTGGAATTAATTGAAAAGATTCAAGAATGTTGTAAAGCTCAAGATCAACAAACAAAATTCAATCTGAGTGCTGTATTTTCAAAGTGACTTCTGAAAAAGAAATCAATAATACTATTTACAATAGTCACACAAAAGTTGAAATACTTGGAAATAAACATACGCAGTAAAAACAACAAACACGCTATAAAACACTATTACCAGAAACTCAAAGAACCCAAAACAAAACAAAATAAAAACCAAAATCAGTGCTATGGAATTGATTCCCACTCATAGTGACCCTATGGGACAGAGGAGAATTGCCCCTGTGGGTTTCTGAGACTGTAACTCTTTACGGGAATAGAAAGCCTCATTTTTCTCTCACAGAACAGCTTGTGGTTGTGAACTACTGACCTTGTGGTTAACAGCTCATCACATGAAACCAAAAGGGACCTAAATAAATGGAATAATATATCATGTTCATGGATAAGAAGACATAATGTGAAAATGTTTTTACTACCCAAAGTGATCTATAAGTACAATACAATTCCAATCCAGACCCCAGCATCATTCTTTAAAGGGATGGAAAAATGAATCACCAACTTTATCTAAATAGGAAAGAGCCTTGGATAAGCAAAGCACTACTAAAGAATAAGAATATTCTTCTCTTTACCCTTTTCCTTTTCTCCTGCCCCACTATCATGTTTACCCATCATTTACCTCAGTAATTTCTCTCAGATAAATTCCAATTGATCAAACGCGACCAGGAATGCTACACCCTGCTCACCATCAATTTTAGAACCCTTGATATTCCAGTCCCTGTCCTTACTGGCTCTCTGCTCCCCTCCCTCCCCCCACCCTGCCATCTCCCCTCCCATGTCCTACCGGAACCATCAGTCCTGTCACTGTATCCTTGGGATTGCTTATCCTGCCTATTTTGTAAAGATAGACACCAAAAAAGAGGAGGGGAAAAGAAAGACCATACAAATAGTTCCAAGTCTAACTGATAACCTGCCCCACAGTGAGTGAGTTAAATAGAGAGCAGGCCCTGCTATAATCCATCAGTCCAACCCCCTTTTCTTTCAGGGTTCCATATCCTGGGACCCGCTTACCTAACAAAACATATACCCTTTTAAAAATTAGGTATAAATATAGATATGTGCGAGATACAAAAAGTGCTTTCCCCATTCCCCCCCCCC